CAGGCAGCTGTTCCCGGCCCCGTGTGCCAGCCGCAGCCAAATTCCCACTCTGGCCAGGAATAGGATAAGGGAAAAGGGACGTATAACCCTACAATATCTGCCAAGACCACCGTGCTTGGGGCTCCAAAAATCAGGCGTTTTATTTTGCCTTGCAACACACTGCCTGGGAGGCTCCCAGAGCTCTCCAGATCTGCGTGGAAAAAGACACCCACGTGCAAATCCGCATCTGCACAAAGAGCTCTTGGTGTGCAAACCAGCCAGCAACGCGCCAGCAGCTCCCGACGCGGAGATACCATCAGAGTTACCTACAGGGAAAGCATGCTGCCGCTCTGCGCAAAGCCAATGACTCAGCCAACATCAAGATGACCCCACCACCAGCTCCTCCTGCCCAACGGTGGATCTCTAATCAACGCCCCCCCACCTAACGATGCTCGCTGGAGCCACCTGGGACAAACCTGACTCAGATGCCAAGCTTTTTCAGGCACCAAACCCAGTCCTGGGCTCAGGCTACTTGGACCAAGCCCAGGGGACCAGGTAGGTCCTCCTGGTTCTGACGGTCTTTTAGGAAATGGTTCAAATTCTCTTGGTGCTCAAAGGGCCATCCTAGCAGCAACCCGTGAGCCGCTCCGCCAGTATTGACATGCTTGTGCAGCCAAAAGCTTTACAAAACTGAGCCCTGGGAGGGAGCAGAGCGGAGGGAACCTGACACCGAGGAAGCTGCCAGCCAAAAGCTGCAAGGAGTAGAGAAGCTAAAGGCGAAGCTGGTAAATTAATTGAGTTCTTTTATGCAAACTGCAAGAGATCATTTTCATTGCATTTCTCCCAACTTCATTAAAAAGAACAAAAGCCCATGGGCTTTTTTTTCTGGGTGCTGTTGAACATTTCCGAGGTAAGGTTTTAAATGAAGACTAATATATTACCATTCAGGCACTTAGCAACAATGGAAGCACACAGGATCCCCAGGCGAGCATTAATCTGGACACCAAAAGGAAAGAAAAATGTAGCAAGCAACTGAAGACACCCTGACAAGAAGCGATTTAGATGGACACAATCCAGGAGCCAAGTGGGAACAAGTACAAGGAAACTAAACTGCTGGAGAAGCTCCTGCCACATCTGCCGTCAGACCCCGAGAAGAACTGAAACAAGATTGTTCAATTAATCATCCTAAAGGTTGAGTACCTCAGATGTGGGAACCTCATTTTAAACACTGAAATGAAGCTTAGAGGCTACTCAAGAGCTATTGTCTGTCACCATGAAATGACTCCAGCCTGTGCCCAGCTCCTGAACACCAGCTCTGAGTCGACGGTGTGATTTGTAAGATATAAATCCACCCGGAGCAAGAGCTTATAACTTACAGTAAAAACACAGGCACCAAGGAAACTCTGACGTATTTCTGCAAGAAGAGATGTATGCAAAAGTTTCATTCGATTTAGTTGTTGGGGTTTTTTTTAGTTAGAAAAAGGCAAGCTTTTACAAATTGCTTCTCTTGCCCAGATTTCAGGGTCTGTTTTGCAGCCTGCCTGCTGCCACACTTCCACATTTTCAGCGGACTTCCCCGGGGCTGAAAGCATCGCAGGGGCTGAAAACATCGCAAGGGGCCGGGGATAGCGAAGCAGAAGTGGTACCTGCTTTGCTCCCCGCAGCTTTTAAGTTGTCGCTGTAAAACAACAGCATCTCACCACTTCTTGGGAAATTACACATCCCTTTTCCTACAGCAGCTGTCACAACCTGAGAAGCAAACACCAAAAGGCTCGATAGCAGGGAAAAACTCGGGATTTTCTGCTTGACCAGATGGGTGATGTTACCGATTTCGCCAGCAATTCTCTAAGCACAGTCTGCAGAAGAGCAGACAGAAAAGAAGGGTTTTATGGATCAGCAGGAGACCGAAACGACCCAGGTCATCCTCTGAGAACAAGGGGAGCACTCAGGTGGGTCAGGGAGAACAGAGAACCAACAGGAAGAAAACTCCAGGAGAAGAAGAACAAGGTTAAGGGCAAGTTAGAAAGCATGAAAGGAACAGAAAGCCCATGTGTCGGCAAGCTCTGAGGCAGCAGGAGAAGAAAAACCTTCCGTGCTGGAAGCACATGCTCCTGCAGCGCAGCTCCCGTCCCGGGGAGGTGACCACCCCGGCCCCGGGCAGGAGGCCAGCAATGCCTGCACCCGCCTCAGCGGTGGCTTGCAGGAATCTGAAAAGGCAGACCGGTATTTTGTGCCTCTGGGCTGACGCAAGTGCCTCCACCCCTTTGTCTGGAAGGACACTTCCAATGAACTGAAACTTAGGATCACAAAAGCCAATGGCCCAAACGGGTCAAGTCACAGCCTTCAGAGCAAAGCTTTTTGCTGGGCGGGGGCTCGGCCATGCTGCTGCTCTGACCAAGCTTGGTCGCACATCACCCAAAACCAGCAAGAGCAAGGACAGCACAGAGAAGAGATGCTAACCACAGCACACCAGAAGACACCTTTTCAATCCTAAACTCAACAAAGCTTGTCTAGATAAGGATCCATGGCCACGTTAATCACTGCCCCAGCACAACTCCCAGTCCTACTTTCGTTGACTTTCGTGAACTCCAAGTCACGCTAGATAACCCGGGCAGTGCCACGTATGGCACCTCCGTACAGTGGTTCTGGCCACTTCACGAGGCCACGCCACCTCAGTAATCACAGGCCACCATTAAAACTCAACCAGCTACAGACCCGCTCCCCCAACCCATGGCCTCGCTCCGCTTCTTGTGGGAACACACGTGGGGCATCTCACCGAGGGGTCCTGTCACAGCGGGAGGAGGAACCCCAGAAGTCGGAGCTCGTGCGCACAGGTCTGCGAGCAGCAGGACCTAAGGCTGCTGGCCCTGCAGTGCCCTGAGCACAGCAAGGGGAGGAAGCATCTCCCCAAATGGACCCTCTGCTCTTCTTGGACAGCTTCTGGAAATTCAGGCACTCTAAGCATAGGGTGGAAACAAAACCTCTGGCCCCAGTGTACGGGATGCAAGGCTGCTCACCAGTGCAAAGCCTGGTCTGTGCCACCCCAAGTCTCTGCTCTCAGCCCTGGAACAGGTAAGCGGGACTTGCTGGTGCTCGGTGACATGGTTTCAAGGCCACTTGGCATATGGTAGCCCTCGACCCCACCAGCTTCACCTGTGCTGCAGCCACCCTGCGAGGCCGCCTGGAAAAACCCAACCAGTTCCTCACCACCAGAGATTTCGGAGTAACGCTGTCCTCGACAGCCCTTGATATCTAGGGTTTGGAAAACAACCAACCCTCCCTCCAGCAACACCCAGATGACGCTCAGCACGGGGCGAGGCGGGACAGGACACGCAGCCTGGCCGTTCCAGCGAGACAGGAGCACCGGCTGCAGCTGGGAGGGGATGCGGCATGTCCCCCTGGATCCCCGCACCCCTTCGCCCACGTGGATGTCCACGAAACGAGCCCTGCCGTAGCCATAAGGGCCACCGGGCAGGCGGGACGCCGGTCCCCGCTGCCAGCGCCCACACTCGCAGCATCCTCTGGCCTCACGGGGCTGCCAGGGAAGGGGGAGAGAAGGGGAGAGCGATGGGGGGACGACGGTGCCACGATAGCAGGCAGCTGGGCGCCCCCCCAGCCGCTCCAGTTGGCCCAGCGCACAGCGGGGACTGGTTTGGATGGGGCTCCCGGTGCTCAGGGCAGGGCGAGCGTGGGGTGGGCGGGCGTGCGTGGGGGTGCGCAAGCCTCTCACCGTAGATCATGGCCAGGCCGGTTTCGTGGAGGAAGCGGACGCGGCGGTGCTTGAAGAGCCAGATGGTGAGGATGGTGAGGGTGAGGAGCAGGATGAAGACGAGCAGGTTGGCGCTGTCCTGCCGGTGGCTTTCCCCCGCCGCCTTTTCC